GTGTGTGTGTGTGTGTGTGTGTGAGAGAGAGAGAGAGAGAGAGAGATACCCGTGGATGTGTCAGTCAGTCAGACACCCGTGTGTGTGTGTGTGTGTGTGTGTCAGACACCTGTGTGTGTGTGTGTGTGTGTGTGTGTGTGTGTGAGAGAGAGAGAGAGAGAGATACCCGTGGATGTGTCAGTCAGTCAGACACCCGTGTGTGTGTGTGTGTGTGTGTGTCAGACACCTGTGTGTGTGTGTGTGTGTGTGTGTGTGTGTGTGAGAGAGAGAGAGATACCTGTGGGTGTGTCAGTCAGATATCTGTGTGTGGGTGTGTCAGTCAGATATCTGTGTATGTGTGTGTGGCCACTCCTATCCATGTGTCATAGCCTATTTGTCAGTGGACTTGACAGGGACACAGCTACACTGCAGCTGCAAGGTGTTACTTCCAAGCTGGCTAGACAGTCCTGGGCTAGTTGTGGTTGTGCTAACACACTAGAAATAGCAGAGTGGGCAGGCTGTATGGCTTTGCTCAGCCACTCTCATACAGTCTGAAATACTAAACACATACTTAGGTGGCTAGCCAGCCAGGCTGCTAACTTTACAGTTGCATTCAGAGCTAATATGTGCGTGTCTACTTCAGCCCTGAATGCCTCCCAGCTGCAGTGCAGATGTGCCCACACACAGGTCTTGATGCTAACATAGATACCAACACACAGACATTGCTGTCAGCCCACATAGACAACTAGGGACAAAGGACACTGACAAGCTTTGTGGCATGGGATGTTTTGTTGGTGGGCATAATTACTCACTGATACAGAGCGGGTTTGAACTTCTGATTTGTATTGAGAATCTGCTGATGAAATATCCCATGTTTATAGGAGCTGTGATTTTTTTTTTTTTTTTTTTTGCAGTTGGATTTGGAAATGCAGAGGCAGTGGATGGAGAGATTGTTTCCTTGGCAAGGTATTCTGACCTTCAGAGTAGCCTTGCTTGTTTGCACAGCAAGAAGCTTGTGTAAGTTAAACAAATTAAAATATTTAAACTTTCACTTAGCAATCTGCCAAATAATCTTTCTGAGCAACTGATAACTGAAACTGCTCAGAGATAATCTGTGAGTTCCTTGCATACTATAAAATGAGAAGGGATGGGAAATAATAAGAGTGGGAAACATTACTGAATTTTCCATTGTAGAAATTATTAGTTTCGGGTAATATCATGCAAACAAACATTTCAAGGAAAAATGAACATACATGCGATGGGACCACAATAATTATTGATGTAAACAGCTGCAACTTCCTTATGGGTTTCAGAGGGGTAGCTGTATTAGTCTGTTTCAGCAATAACAACAAGGTGCCTGGTAGCACCTTAAAGACTAACAAATTTGTTACAGTTATTGAAGTTGCTCCTGCTTACATTAGCAGTGAATTTGACCTGTGATTAAGCAATGTGCAAATAGAGAGTTTTTTGTGGTTGTACAGTACTATTAATCCTAGAATGCTGTTTATGTATTAGGCAATATTAAAGGGTAAAATTTATAAGATTATAGTTGTTAAAGATGTCACAACTCAAAAGGGAACACACAAAACAAATCTATGTATTTACAGTTTTTAAAATTTTATATTAGAAAAAGCTAAATCACCTGAACAAGAACCAATAGTTTTCTGTTTTGTAAATATTGATTTGTTTCCTGGTGTTTTCAACATTTCCTTACCTTCCTCACTGAAAAGATTTGTAGATGTTATAAACATCAGTCATCATAGATTGTTGTTAGGAATGTATGAAATGTTAGTATAACCAAAAGCAGTGTGTCCTATAGGCATGTAGAATAGTGATAGAAATGTAGCCGTGTTAGTCTGGGGTAGCTGAAGCAAAATGCAGGACAATGTAGCACTTTAAAGACTAACAAGATGGTTTATTAGATGATGAGCTTTCGTGGGCAAGACCCACTTCCTCAGATCAAATAGTGGAAGAAAATAGTCACAACCATATATACCAAAGGATACAATTAAAAAAATGAACACATATGAAAAGGACAAATCACATTTCAGAACAGGAGGGGGATGCGGGGGAGGGGGGGGAGGAAGGAAGGTAAGTGTCTGTGAATTGATGATATTAGAGGTGGGGGGAGTGGGATGTCTGTGAGCTAATGGTATTAGAGGTGATAATTGGGGAAGCAATCTTGGTAATGGGTAAGATAGTTTGAGTATTTGTTCATTCCTTCCCGGAGAGTGTTGAATTTTAACATGAATGACAGTTCAGAGGATTCCCTTTCAAGTGCAGATGTAAAAGGTCTTTGTAGCTGAATGCAGGTGGTTAAGTCATTGAGAGAGTGTCCTTTCTGGTTAAAATGGCAAGAAACTATAGGCATGGTTCCTTGAATCTTTTTTATGCTCATTACTGCAAGTGATTACAAAAATCAAGATGACGTTAAATCAAGTGAACTTTTTTGAGGTGCAGAAAAGTAATATTACCTTGTGCAGTGAGGAAATGTATTTTTTTTCAATTAAAAACTGACTCGGTGTGGGACTAGGTATTAATAGTCATTAGATGACTGGAATTAACTGGATTTGTGTACACAGAAATATTGTAATTGATCAGGTCTTTTTTGTTTTTATTGCTTACTAGTGTGTTCAGCTGATCTTGCCATAATTGCTTAGTCTAGGCTCCAAACATCTGGAGACCCTCTGTGTTGACATTAAATAATATAATCTGTGGTCACTTGCAGTCCTGCAAACACTTACACACATGCTTAACTTTGAGCTTGTATTTATTTGTAGGTCTGGGATTTAAATCTGACAGTCGGAGGGCCAAAGTGGATGACATGGTTATGTATCCAGTGATTTAAAATTCCTTTTGTACTGATCATATCTGAGACCTATCTCTTCTTAACCATGATTGCGTCTAGAGTCATTTCTTCCAGACAAGAAGTCAAGTCAGGATTTGCTGTAGCTGGTTAAAGTAGCCACTCATCAGTGTTAATACTGACAATGTAGACAATATTATAAATACTGTAAAAGTTTATTTTGTGGTATTTTCAGCTGCCCAGGCCACTTGTCCTGATATCATTGTGACTCAGCAGCTTCTGAAAGAAGGATTTCACAGGTGGGTTGATGACAGCCATATACTTGGGCAATGCATCAGTTCCTCGTGTGCCTCTCCGAGCCCAGTTCTGCAAACATGCAACTTCTTAAATATATGTGTGTGAGTAGCTCCATTGAATTCATACATAATTACCAAACATACAGTATGATATTCAATGGAATTATTGAGTAAATTTAAGCGTATATGTAGATGCTGGCAGAATCATTACTTAAATATTTAGTGGCCAGCAGTCAGCTATATCATGGCACGAACATGAAGTAAACATGCAAATGTATTTCTGAGTATTTTTAGTAATATTTGTTCATAAGTGGAGAATTAACAAAAAAGAGACATGTTGGTTATAATAGATCTGGAAATACAATAATATATTCATAGGATCATAGAACTGGAAGGAACCATCTATTCTAGACCATCTGTGATGGGAGTTTGCAAATATTGGAGATTTCACAATCTTCCAGTTTATTCCAGTGTTTAACCACCTGATGGGAAGTTTTTCCTAGTGTCCAACCTAAACCTCCTTTGCTGCACTCTGAGCCCATTGGTTTTGTCCCATCATCACTGGATAAGGAGAATAATTTTTCTCCCTCCTCCTTGTTAACACCCTTTTAGGTACAGTACTTGAAATATTGTGTTTCCTAAAAGGGAAAGGAAAAACTCTAGATAGAAAATAATATGTATCTATATTCTCAGGGCATAGTAGAGAGCTACATCTAATATTTGAAATGATCTGTTTATAATTTTTGTGCAGTTATTTGAAATATGTGCTAACGGTTTCTTTTCTTTTTAAGAGAGCTGCTAACAAGAGTAGAACTTGGAGCAGGGGAGGAGGCCATAGGAAGCTGCACTGTGGCAATAAAAGAACACCTCCCAGCAGGACTATATGTGGATCCCTATGAGCTAGCATCACTGCAGCAGCACAACCTAACTGAGGTATGATGTCCAAATAGTCACGCTGCTTTGTGTGGAAATAGTTCACACAAGAGAAACAATTATTTGAATACTTATGAGTAAATATCCAGTGCCTATAATTTGAAACATTAGCATGGAGATGAACTTTCATCTACCATTATTATGTTACCCTTCCTTCTAATGACAGAGCTTTCTGCTGGGTAGGCACACAGTCATGGATGGAAACCAGAATGAAGAGGAAACAGCTTGCATCCCATTGAAGTCACTTTGTAAGAGTTGTTAGGGAAGATGATCATTCCTGAGGCTCTGAGGAACTGCCTCAGAAGTTGTGGTTATAGTGCAGTTGGAAGAGACACAGGGTATTTCTATAGGATTCTCTTAGTTATATAGGTAGCGTGTTTCAGACCGCTGAGTGTGAATACATTGACTCTCATAAGCAATATAGATTTGTACAGAATGTGGGGGAATATGATGGTATTATGACTTATGCTGACACCAGTGGCCTGAGGAACTATAGGAAAGAGGTCCTGGAAGCTAAATTTATCCATTTAGCTTAGAAAAAGTTTACGGGGCTCCTCTGAAGCCTTTCTTCAAAATGCTTCAGGTTCTTCACAGAAGTCATGGTGGGAAACAGGAGAGTTCAGCAAATGCATGAAGAGGAGTAGTTACAGCACTTTGGGATCCTTGGGAATTAGTCACTTTGTGAGGAAGGATGGTGTGGTGTTTAAGGTGCTATATTGAGATGTGAGAGACTTGCGTCAGGTTCCTGACTCTGTCACAAAAATATGTGTGATTTCAGACAAGTCCCTTAAGATGTGTGCCTCCATTCTTCCTGTGTAAAGGGGAGTTGAGAGTCTCTTTATCCCACCCTTTGTCTGTTTTCTCTCTTTGTAAAGCCTGTCTCTTGCTATGTGTAGGTTGTGCCAAATACAGTGGGACCCCAAACTAGGTTGGAGCTTTTAGGCATTACTGTAATAAAGATGTAAAATACTGGACCAAATGTAAGCCTCATGTAACTAACGTAATGCCACTGACCTCAGTAGCATAACAGTGATGGGCACTATATGAATAGAACAGAGACAGAGAATGAATGTTGGTCTTTGTCATCTCGAGGAAGAAGAACTTTAGTTTGGGAATTAAACTGCTGTCTCCCTCATGACATCGTAATAGGTTACTTTGCCAGGTTGACAGTTTTAGTCATTTTTATCTTGTATTTCCTCTATAACAATATGCGTGTGTTTTTCATAACATTCATTCATCTGTATTGATTGTGTCTGTTTTCCACAGGCTCTGATGATTGCAGATACTATTGATGTGGAATCTCCTGAGTATTTAGCCACAGACCTTGCCATTCTTGTTTACATGAAACCTGACCCTCAGTGTGATCGCTGTTTTAAAGCCATGTTGCCTGTGCACAGCCGATATCACCGGCCATCCAAGGATGATGGTGAAGCAATTGCTGTCCTAAAGAATCCAGAAATACTGATCTATTGCCATAAAAGTGAGAAATACACTTTGCTATGTGAAAGAGGGAGGGATTAGAGAAATAATTATGTACTCTACAGAGTTTGAAATCCAGACTTTGGGGAAAATCGTGGTGGAGAGAGGTGTCTGGATAGTCATTTAAAAATGGGGAAAATAGTGATTGCAAAAGAAGGGCAAAGAATTTTCTTTTCTTTTTCACATATATTTGGACCGATGCTGCTTAATCCTGACAAAAGGCTAATTTAGGTCTGGTTGCTGTTAAACTTCCTGGACAATCCCAGTATGCATTTTATTCTCTAAGTAACATCCCCATCCCAGAGAAGGAGCATTATATCCCCTAATGTGAGTCTTTAAGATGGGAGTGTTGGCATTTGGTTTGCTCCTGAGAATTCCTGTAGAACGTGGACTGATGAAGGTCTGTATGGCCCACGTGTTTCCACTGGATTCTGCATGGCAATTGATGCAGTTCATGGTGTAGTCTATAGAAAGGAAAGCTGAATGTATCAAACAACAGTATTCTGGTGCTTTCCAGCAGGGCTGGCCTTACCATGAGGCGAACTGAGGCGGCCGCCCCAGGTGCCAGACAATGTGTGGGGGGGTGCCACTAGGATCCAGAGTGTAGAAAATTGTGTCTGCTGCTAGTGCAGCGAGGGGACATGGGGGGGTCATTTGAGCTCCCCGTCTCAGGTGCCAAAATGTTGTGGGGTGGCCCTGCTTTCCAGCCTGCACAATATGCAAGTAGGAGAATCTTTGTTAGACTCTTGACTTATGAGGGATGGAATGATAGGAGCCTGAGACTTTGTTAAAAAATATCTAGTATCTACTAATAATGGATCATTTAATCCTTGTAAACAATCCAATCCCCACTCCTACTACAAATGTGTTTCTTTTCAAGAGACCGACTCTTCCTCGCCTCCAAACCAGATACGAAAATACATTTCTCACCTTTTCTAGCTTTGTGTAGGCATTATTTGATGGCCTATTTTCATTTTTACATCTTTGAGACTATAGCGGGGCTCTGTATACTTGCATAATGGAATCTCAAGACTGTGCCTTCCCTTGTCTCCAAGACGCTGATGGTCAACTTTAATGGTGGGGATCTACAGTTATTCATAAGAGACCAAATTAAAAAAAAAAAAGCATTACAGAGATATAACACGCAAAAGGAGAAATGTTAAAATAGTTTATTATGGTATGTGGTGGATGAGGGATTTTGCCAGACCAGGGGAGGTCATTTCTGGCCCGTCTGCTGCCAGCCCCATCCCCTTCCCTGCTGCCCCGCCATACTCCCCGGCTCCCTCCACAGCCCTGCTGAGCTATGCGCTGGGATTACTTCTCACCCCCTTGCATTGTGCCAGAACACTCTGATCCTGGAATATCCATAGTCCTGTCAGATCACAGATGTTGCCAGACCAGAAAATCCCGGTTTAGTATTGAAATACTTTTGCATTGTATATGTTGCCTCATCCTGGTCTGATTCTTTTGGCTTTTCCCAGGTTTCCCATCACTTGAATGTTGGAACTATTCTGAAGTGGAAGCTCCATGTTCAGTGAGAAATGGGCATACCTGTCATTGGAGCAATGTGACATATAAACCTGTAAGTACCTATTTCAGACTGGAAAGATTGCTCAGGTTTGAGAATCCCCCTCACATCATCAGCTGTGAAGACTGATCAAAGAATTCATTTAGTTTCTCCGCAATTGCCTTACCATGCTTGAGTGCTCCTTTAGTATCTTGATTGTCCTGTGGCCCCACTGGTTGTTTAGCAGGGTCCCTGCTTCTAATGTATTTTTTTTTTAATTTGCTCTTACTTTTTGAGTCTTTGGTTAGTTGTTCTTCAACTTCTATTTTGACCTTTCTAATTACATTTTTACACTTCACTTATCAGAGTTGATGCTCCTTTCTGTTTTCCTCACTAGGATTTAACTTACACATTTTAGAGGAAGCCCTTATGTCTCTCTCTGCTTCTTTTGTTTTGTTGTTTAGCCCCAGTGGGACTTTTTTTTTATTCTCTTGCGATATTTTTTTAATTTGAGGGATACATTTTAGTCGATCCTCTATCAGTGTCAGGTTCCATTTTAAAACTATTTAGGTTGTTTGTCCTCACCACTTCTACTGGGAGACTGTTCCAGAACATCACTGCTTCTGAAGGTTAGAAACCTAACTTCCAGTTTAAACTTGTTCCTAGCCATTTTATCCACGTTTGGTCTTTTGCCAATGTCGTCCTTTTCTTCTCCCTTCCTGATGTTTACCCACCTGTTGTATTTATAGAGAGCAATTATATTACCTCTCAGCCTTTGTTTTGCTAAGATAAACAAGCAAGGATTTTTTAATCTCCTCCTGTAAGATAGGCTCTACGTTTGGTAATCATCTCTGCATTTGTTCACATTTGAATCCATTTTTCCTGAGCATGGGGGAACAGAAAAGTACATTGTACACAGTTATTCCCAGTGAGGTCTGACCAGTACTTTGTACAATGGCCTTAATACTTCCCAAAGTCTACTTGAAATTATGTTGCCTGATGCAATCCTAGGATTGCATTGCCTTTTTTTATGGCCACATCACATTGGTGGCTCATAATCAACCTCTAATCAACTCATGCACCCAGGTCTTTCTCTCCCTCCTATGTTTTAAATCTTAAATGAGACACAGTTTCTTGATTATTCTTTAATTATATCTGCCTGTAACTACTCCTCCCAGTGTCTAGCATATTTTGGTGGGGAGTGGGAAAAGTGGTGGAACTCATTTCATGCTCTCCTTCCGTTAAAGGATTTTTCTTGCATACCCCCTTACAAAAACGGACTGGTCTATAATTACTTGGGATGTCCTTATTCCCTTTTTTATACACGGGCTGCTCTTTTCTAGGTCTCTGGCATCTCTCTTGTGTTTTATGAGTTGGTAATCACTAATGACCCAGAGGTGTCTTCAACCAACTCCGTGTGGTCTAGAATGTATTTCATCAGGCCCTGCAGGCTTGAAGACCACTAACTTGTCTATTCTTGACTTATTTTTTTCCTGTCTGAGCCTCAGATCCTACCCCATTTACATTGATAAACGTTATATTTCGTTGTCTAGTAATTGCTAACTTTCTTTGTTGAAAATTGAAACAAAAAAGTAAATTGGCACTTCTGCCATTGCTGTATTTTCTATTATTGTCTTTCTTGTCTCATAAAGTAGAGGGTTTACTCTGTTCTTGGTCTGTCTTTTGCTTCTAACGCTTGTGTAAAATATCTTCTTGTTACCCTTTACATCTGTAGCTAGCTTAATCTCATTTTGTGCCTTGGCTTTTCTAATTTTGTTTCTACATGTGTTGCTTTTTAATATTCATCCTTCATGGTTTTACTTGATTTTCACTTTTGCTTCCTTTTTCCTCTTATGCGGCCCCTCCTGCTGCTGGCCCCCTCGCCTGTAGGAGAGAGCTATCCTTCAGAGTTCTCACTGGGGGCAGCCATACCACCAAGGGAGTGGCCAGCAGGGCTGGGCCTCCATCATCTTCCCTACCAGCACACCAAGTAAATAGCCCTCCTGCCCCAAACTCTTCCCCCTCCTGGCCCTTGGCTGAAGCTCTGGGAGGCGGGGAGGGGGGAGAAAAGGGCCTCTAGCAGCTTGGGGGAGTTGAGGGGGTAGAGGGTGGGGAGAAAAGGGCCCCTGATGGCCATGGGGGTTGGGGAAGAGAAAATGCCCATGCTGAATGGAATCGCCTTCCTTACCCCCATATCCTCACTCTTGCACCCCCACCCATGTGTAGACGCGGGCCGTTATTCCGGGCTAGTCAATTTCCAAAATGGCGACCGCCCGGGAACATGCTAATGAAGCATGGGGCATTTAAATCCTGCGCTTCATTTGCAATTTCGGTTGCCCTTATTAGCCTCCCTAGTTCGAACTAGGGGGCTATTGTAGACATACCTATAATGAATTATAAGGAGCATAAAAGGACTTGAGGCCTTTTTTTAATTTTTTTTATTTTAAACTTTGCAGGCTACTATTATGCGAGAGAGATTTCTTTAGCTATTCGTTCCATAAGTTTCTTCCTCCAGTCTTACAGTGTGCACAAGTTGCATGATGTCCCTAATGTCAAAGCTAATATAAGAACAAAGCTGTAGAGAAAAATAAAGGCACAATTCAGTGCCTCAGATACTGTTAACCTGATAAATGCCCTAGCATTTCAATAAGTCAGCTGTCAAGATGAGCAGATAGAAATGGAAATGTCTCTCCCCCAGCTTTGACTTTTGAATCCAATGCTGCATGAAAGGATAAATCCTTTAAATGAATGGAGAAAGCCTGAGCAACTAGAGAGATTAAGGTTGTTGAGGGCTGTTCCCTAACATTAAATAGATGATTCTGTGATGCTTTCTTAATTCCTATGTCTAAAGGAGAAACAAAAGCTACTGAGAATGGAATAATAGCTCAAGTTTGTATTTTTACTCAGGTTTAACATCCAACTCTCTCTTCACAGGTAAATAAGGAAGTGATACTGCTAGTGCCAGTGGGGCTCAAACAGCATGGTGCCTTGGTATGTGCGGGGACTCTTCTTACCACAGTCCTGTGTTCCTGTTTAGTTCTTGCAGCTGTATGCAAACATGGACCCTCTTCCTTGGTGCACTGCTCAGAGTAAAACTGAACAAGACATTGTAGCTGGAGTCAGTCTGAAACAGTAATGAATACCATGCAAACTGAGTCTGTTCTGTATAGGGTTCTATGAATGGAATGCCATTTGTTTATCACCTTTACAACAGTAATGCCTAGAGGACCCATCTGAGATCATGACTCTCTTGTGCCAGGCACTGTATAAACACCTAATAAGAGACCATCCCTGCACTCAAGAAGGTGCATTCTAAATAGACAAAGCAGACAAAAGTTTCAGAGAATGTAACTGAAAAAACTTCAAAAATAATGAATAGTATTGCACCACCTTAGAGACTAGCAACAAATGTAGATGAACAAAGAATGGGAGGGAGAACTAAGATGTACAGATGAGGTGATCTGCCCAAAGTCATTTGGCAGAGCTGGGAATAGAACTCAGGTCTCCTGACTCCTAATCTTGTATTCCCTAAGTGCAAGACCACTGTGCCTCTCATTAAATATTATTCTTCCAGGATTTTAAACTAGCTGACTTGACAGACTGATTATTATAATCAGAGAAACAGGTTCCCTGGTCTCTGTACCTTTGAGTTATAAACTGAAACATAATCCAACTCTATTGTATTTTAATTTGTTTTGTGAGCTACATATTTACCTGGAACAGAAAAGGATTTCCAAGCATTGTAAAGATATAATGGTCCCTGTTTTATTAACAGTGACCTGTAGGAGGCAGCCAGATTTATGTGATTTTTAAAGAGGCCCTAAGAATTTGGAAGAAACTTCTAGATGTTTACTGCGTAAATTAGAACAGGACTAGTAACTTTGATGTTTCAGAGGAAATAACAGAGCCTCATCCGAACAGGAATTATTTTGAGGAAATTTAAGGCATGTGTTACGCAGGAAGTCAGACCGAATGACCACAGTGATCCCTTCTGGCCTTGGTATCTATGAAATGATGCTAAGCTGGAATAGAGGACTTGGAAGACTGGAGGTAATCATCAGCGCTGTTAAGAAATACAAGGAAACAGAGAGGAAATTGCTTCATTAATGGAAAAACTGAGGTGCCTCAATGGTTCTTACATTTGTCATCCTAAATGTATCTTGTTTCTGTTGTTTGTCAGTAGGGGGCATTATGAGTTTAAGATAACTCATAGGGCAGATTTTTACTTTGTTTCTGTATACGTAGAGGATATTAAATATAGGTGGTTTTGTTATTAAACTACAGATGCAATAAAAAGCAGAGGTCCTGGCTTTCAAATTCTGTTCATATATCCATGTGTGGCCTGTAGTTGTGCAGCCTAATCCTTGCTCTGTCAGCAGGATTGGCCTTTCCTCTTCCTCCACAGCTATATCTTCTGGAATTCCTGGGCATCTTTCCTCATCTCCGTCTGACACTCAATAAAGAACTTGTCTTGTAACTTCGGCTGCAGGTTGGAAAGTGATCTAACACTGGTCTCTTGTTTCCCTTGACGAAGTGCCGAAAGAGGTGGCTCATCTATTGCCTCAGTTCATGAGTCCTCTGCATCCGTTTGGGGGAAGGAAAATGTTAAAAAACCTGAAATAGACTTTGTTACTTATTTAACCATGTCTGAGCAGCTGTGCCATGGTGTTATCAGCTGTGAGCTTCTATTGTTTAACTTGTCCCTGGGGTTTTTTTGTTTTATTTTCCAAATATGAGTTTGTTTTTTGTGTTGTCTCCTGGCCAGACATGTGCTTTATACTGAAGGCTAACCCTTTATACTGTGCGCCCCCTTTCTGTGAAAGATGGTTTTCCTTTGATATTCCTCCCCTTGCTCAAGATTATATTAATTTTGAAGACAGTGTGATAAAGTTTAATATGAACTGTTTAAAGTGATTACTCTATCTGATATCATTGCCTAGTGAAAGAAAACTGTGAATTTCCATGGGACACATGAGGAAAATACTGCTAGTGGCGATACTTAATGAATGAGTTCCTGAGAAATTTGCATAGGTGACTGTAAGAATAGAAAACAAAATCTACAACGGTAAACTGGAGTAAGAGAAATAATCTGAATCTGTATTAATTGCACAGAGGCAAATATGCTGTTGATCCTAATGAAAGAGTTTGCGGTAAAAATTACGTCTGATTGTGCCTACTAGTGAGGATAGTGTCAGAGCACGGATTAGTTTGTTTGTACCTGGTCATTGTAGTGCAAATATAGAACAGGGTAGGATAAATTGCTGAGTATTTTAATGATCTACATTAATGTTTAATTATTTCAAGTTAATTTGAAAGAAATAATCTGTTCTAATCAGTTGTAATGACATCTATTACTGAATTTCTGGTAGAGGTAGACATTTGATTACAGCAATTTGGGACTGGAAAGGTTAATCTTCAGAAGCTTTACCTGAGCTTTATGGCTGAGAGTATGCAGTCAGGGGGAAGATGATCAGAGGAATGGATACCCTATTTAATGAGAGGAGACTGGAAAGGCTTAGCAAAAAGAAGACTAAGAGCATGGTTGTGATCTCTGAATGCAGCAAGGCGAAAGAAAACCAGGGAGAGCTAGTACAAGTATAGAACAATATTGGTACAAGATTAAAGGGGTATAAACTGGTCTTGAACAAATTCAAGCTGGGAATGAGATGCTTTCTAACCATCAGCGGTATGAGGATCTGGGACAGCCTTCCAATAGGAAGAGTGTTTGGGTGTGAGTGGGGGCAAACAACATACTTAGTTTTGAGATCGATCCTGACAGATTTGTTGGCATTGTATGATGGGGGTATAGAGGTGATTGGTTGTACCTGAATCAATTGGTATTACAGATCTTTTATCAAAAATGATGTTGGCAGCCAGTTATACAGTAAACTAAGTTTATTAACTAAGAAAAAAAGACTGAGTTACTGAGCTGTGAGAGCAGGTAAATATAACAGGTAAATCACAGTTTGTAATTCCAAATGGTGGCAATGATGTAATGAACTGCGTTTCCCAAAAGTCCTTCTGGATCTTTGTCTTCACATTCAGTTATTGTGCCCTGTTAGAATCCAAACAGTCCAGAGATAGATGTTCTTTCTTCGAATCCACGTTTATATCTTCTTTCAGAAGACAAGCTGACAGTCTCTCTTAACTATCGGCTTTTCTTTGATTACAGATAGTAAGGAATGGACTTAGAGTCCTTACTTTGAATATCACACACAAGGATCACTTACTTAGAAGCATTTTCTGTTAAAGTCCTTAAACACTTCATTAGCATTTCCTAAAGTTCTTTGATGGGTAATTTAATTCCAGGGCTATAAACAAATGTAAATGTTTGCTATATTATAACAAGAATAGATAAACAAGAACAATAAAAGTAAGGACCCATTAGTTTTCATGAAGTTTAAAGATCTGCGTATGCTCTCATACATTCAGCAATTAGGGATATTAAATTTCAATTAATTGACTAATTGAATAGTCGATGCAGTTTGCATCAACGATTCAATTAGTTGATAAGGGCACCTCCACCTTTGAAGTGTGGCAACAGCCACAGGATGAGCACAGGACCAGTGGGCGACTCAAGCAGACTCCTGCTGGTCCCGTGCTCCCCGTGGTGTTTCAAAGCGGCAGTGCTGCATGGAGCCTAGGGTCAGCGGTCCTCAGCTGCCCCCGGGCTCCATGCGTCGCAGCTGCTTTGAAATGCCACATGCAGCCCAGGGCCAGCTGGGAGTTCCCAGCTGGCCCGGGCTGCATGCGGTGTTTCAAAGCAGCAGCTCTGTGTGGAGCCCGGGGTCTGGCTCTGGGCTCTACACAGCACTGTTGCTTTGAAGCAACCCTTGCTCTTCCCCCTCCTCTCCACTTGCTACCTCCTTCTGATAGAAGCAGCCAGGGTGGGGGAAGTGACTAGTTGACTAGCATGTCGACTATCTGATAAGCATTTGCTTAGTCATTCACGTCCTTAAAATTAGTTTGATCTATCTTAATAGTAAGTCAATTGGCCTGAATGCACTCTTACATCTAACACTTGCTTTTGATCTGTACTAACAAAGGTGAACCAGCCCTTGGCCCTGATCTGACCTGGTTTGCTAGTGTCAGAGGGATCCCCCCCCCCAATAAGTATTCTGTGGTTTTTCTTTTTAAATCTTCTAAAGCATTAGAAAAACCACTGGTGGAGATGGGTCACAGGACAGAATGGGCCAGTGCTCTGAGGTGGTACCAAGTAATCTCTTTCCCAGATGCTTGTCTGATTGGTTCTTGCTCACATGTCCAGGTTCCAATTGATCATGCTATGTGGGATTCTGATGGACTTTCCCCCCAGGTCAGATTGCCAGTGGCCTTGGTGATTTTTTTTTAAACATGTGTGTTCCTCTACAGCATGGATGCACATTGTTTGCCAGGGTCATTTGTGTGTCTCCCTTCCCTTGGGCCTTGTGCACCTCATCTCTTCTTTTCTATTTTTATGGCATATAGTTTAGTCTCGTGTCGGCTGTCATACCCAGGCCTGACTTTGCTTATTGAGTTTAGTGGGCAGGAAATCGGACTAGATGAAAGAAAAGTAAACCCACTGGCAAAAAAATCTTTAGTGATACAAAAAACAAGGAAAGAAGAAATGAGCTCGCAAATTGGTGTGGAGTTTAAAGATAATCTAGGCATGGTCAAACACCTAAATGAATATTTTGCCTCATCTTACAAAAAGAATAATTAGAATCTTGGGGACAGCGCAGGATGGCCACTAGGAACAAAGATATGAAAGCTGAAATTACCACATCTGAGATGAAAGTTAAACTTATTTTTATGGGACAAAACCAGGACGCGGTATGGGGATAATCTCCATCCAAGAATATTAAAAAAACTGGCACATGAAATTGCAAACCTCAAAACAATGATTTTTAATACATCCATAAACTCAGGGGTCATAGCCTATAACTACTGAATTGCAAATGCAGTACTTTTAAATATACAATTATCTGACCTAAACGGGACTGGAGGATGGTTGGATAGTGAAAATGTCAGGTAATATGGAGTACCAATAAAAAACATGGGAATAAATATGTATTACTAATTCTAATGAAAAAATAAACATCAAACAAAAGCACAACTGCACTCCTGTGTGGTGTGGGCGCATGTGCTGATTGTGATTGGCTATTGTACATGCTGCGTTCTTATTCGTCAATTTGTCACGTCGGCGGGTGGCATGTTGGATAAAATGGTATGTTGGATAAGCGAAGGTCAGAAAATCGAGACTGCCCTGTAAGAGGTTAAAAAAGTGATGAGAGATATTACAGGCCCTTTTGGTTTGGTTTGTATGCAAAGTTGTAAAACAAATGTTGAAAGAGAAAGTAAGGACGTAAAGATAAATAACAATTAGAATAAAATACATAATCATTTTACGAAAGATAGATTATAATAACGTAAGAATGGCCAGACTGGGTCAGACCAAAGGTCCATCCAGCCCAGTATCCTGTCTGCCAACAGTGGCCAATGCCAGGTGTCCCAGGGGGAGTGAACCCAACAGGTAATGATCAAGTGCTCTCTCTCCTGCCATCCATCTCCACCCTCTGACAGAGGCTAGGGACACCATTCCTTACTCATGCTATGGACTTAACCTCCATTAATTTATCTAGTTCTCTTTTAAACCCTGTTATAGCCCTAGCCTTCACAACCTCCTCAGGCGAGGAGTTCCACAGATTGACTATGCACTGTGTGAAGAAGAACGTCCTTTTATTAGTTTTAAACCTGCTGCCCATTAGTTTCATTTGGTGGCCCTTAGTTCTTATATTATGAGAACAAGTAAATAACTTTTCCTTATTCACTTTCTCCCCACCACTCATGATTTTATAGACCTCTATCATATCATATCTTCTTTGAGAAGATAATGGATTCTCTTCAAAGGAAGTGGAGAGGATCTACTCTGACTGTATTTCAATAAGGTATTATATAGTTATACAATGGAAATTATTAAATTGGAGAGGACAGGGATTAATATGAGAATGAAAAGCTTGGTGAGGAACTAGTTAAAGAGGACACTGTAACAGGTCATGCTGAACAGTGAACTGTAAGGGTGGTGGGAGGTTACTAGTGCATTTCTTCAATGACTGGTCTTGGGACCAATCTTAGTTTCCATTATCATTACCGACCTTGGCACAAAAAGTGAGAGTACACTAACGAGTTTTGCACATGACACAAAGGAGGGCGGTATTACCAATATGGAGGAGGACCGGCATATTGTGCAAGAAGTATTGGATGACTTCAAAAGCCGGTGGTAAGAGAGTGTTCCGCAACTGGGTGGGTCTACTTCACATCCTCCGTTACGTCCTATGTGGGGGCAGAGTTTTTCTGGGCAGTGTCTGAAGATGTCCAGGGAGGAGCAGCGGGTACTGTCAGCACTGTCCAGGGGCCTTTGCTAGGTGCCCCCCCTCTGGATCCTTGCTCCTACCCCGACTCTTCATGTGCTGCTGGGCTGGGTCCAGACTGGCCAGT